TACATTTGGCCCATGAACTGGCCCCGCTACCGAGACGAGGTGGCGCGCTTCCTCGGCCACTGTGGGCATCAAGTGGCCGACGACTTCGATGCAACGGCCACCGCTCCGCCCCGGAAACCTCTGGACAGTCATGCCCGGGCGACCCAGAAGAAGAACGGTTGTCTGCTGGCGTGACCAGTGGTGGTGTAGATCCCCCACCAGCGGTGGGGCAAGTACCTTGTCGTGATGTCGACGATAAAGGTTGATGGTGCAACCTGGTTGGCTTGTTTAGTGCTAATAAAATAGTTATTGTTATTGGACCTCCAAAGGGTGAGCCTCCGCAGAGTGAGGTACACAGATGGAGAGCCCTGGGCCAGGTAAATCATCCCTCCCCCCCCTCGCTGTCGTCTCCCGAACGGGTGATGTGATTAAGCCATCGCTAATTTCATCTCATCTTCACCTGCAGACCCATACAACCCACAAGGTACCAATAGACTTATTTCTTATTAACGCTTTTATTATTTTTATTATTTACCTGTTTATTGTTGTTTATTTGCTTCGTTCTTCCTTCTTCTTCTTCGTCGACAATCGAGCGTTGCATTTTGAACTCTAAATTTCTGTCTGACAGATGGCGAGAGTGGAAGTGGGGGGATTGTTCATGCGAAGATTGAGGGCGGAAGCACTGTGGCGGTGACCAAAAATCCATCGCTGGCCGCGCGAGCGCCACCACCCACCCCGCCCTCTCCACTCCTCGGCTCTGCCGCCGCCGCCGCCGCCTCTTCTCCTTCTCCTTCTTCTCCATCGACCAAGACCACCACGCCTCGGGTGGTCCTCCCCTCCGTACCCACCTCCGACCTACAACACGCAGCAACACCGCCTTCTTCTTCATCATCGTCATCTTCATCGTCGTCGTCGTCGTCACTACCTACCTCTCCGCATTCTTCGCCCTCGCCACGCTCGCCTCGCGGCCTCCCGTCGCCCGCGCGCTCCCCGCGCTACGCACCGCCCTCGCCCGTGGCCATCAACGGATCCCTGCGCCACGCCGCCAAGACCAAGAAGCCGCCGCCGGCGCCGCCGGGCTCGGGCTCGTCGTTAGGGTCGGCCGCGTCCGCGCATCAGGTGACGTCGTCATCGCCGCCGTCGTCCACGCCATCGTCGCCGCGCGATGACAACGGCAACGGCGAACCACAATCAGCGGCGGACCACGACAGAAGAAAGAACAAGAAGGAGAAGAAGATGAGGAAGAAGAACCGGCGGAGCGTGTCCTACAACACACTGCCCTCACCACACACG